GTGTTTCCAAACCACATGACTGAGAAATGTTCCTGTCATCCTTCCCTTGCAGGGTGCGGTGTCTGGCTCGGTGCAGGCCACTGACCGGCTGATGAAGGAGCTCAGGGATATATACCGATCACAGAGTTTCAAAGGTGGTAAGTTTTTCCCCAGAGAGGGGCCTTCACAGAAGTTTCTGATAAAGAAGGATATTGTGATAGCAAGGGGTCCCAGGAGGTTCTGGGATACATGAATGCTTATGCACTTCTCAGGCCAAAATGGAGCTCTTCAAGCCAGTGTCTTGGATTAGATGCATGTCTATCTGGGGTGAACCTGGAGCCTTTGATATTTTTCTCTGTCTGGGAGAGGGATCTGCATTAGCTACTGTTCCCACCTGGACCTATTTTCTTTCCTCTTTCCAGGAAACTATGCAGTCGAACTCGTGAATGATAGTCTATATGATTGGAATGTCAAACTCCTCAAGTAAGTGGGGACTTTGGGATTGGAGAGAAGTGGAGAAGTAGTGTGAGTGGAACTACTGTGGTGGGAGCTCCAGGGCAGTCCCATCCAGTGTGTGGGCTGCAGGGTCCCAGAACATTGTGTGGGCAGTGGTTTGTCCACCTGCTGCTAGCCTGGGTAGTGGGAGCCCTTATGAGGCTCCTGAGCTGAGACCAGGAATCTGAGCCCAGACTCATTGCTTCGTAGAGTTGACCAGGACAGCGCTTTGCACAACGATCTCCAGATCCTCAAAGAGAAAGAAGGAGCTGACTTCATCCTACTTAACTTTTCTTTCAAAGTAAGACTATTTTCTTTTCTGGTCACACCCTCCCTGGCCTAGGCTTCCCTGTCTGCCTTACAGTCCTGTGGGAGACATCGACCTCCCTTCCTTGATTGTTGTCTCTGTCTCTCTCTCTCTCTCTCAGGATAACTTCCCCTTTGACCCACCATTTGTCAGGGTTGTGTCTCCAGTCCTCTCTGGAGGGTGAGTGGCTGGGCAAGAGAAAGAGGGCAGCTCCTGTGGCAGAGGGTGAAGAAGGGACTTGGAGCTTTTGCCAGCCACAACTGACTAACCTTCCTTCTGCAGGTATGTTCTGGGCGGAGGTGCCATCTGCATGGAACTTCTCACCAAACAGGTAAGCTGTTTCTCTCTCTTGGCTGGGCTGGTGTAGGCGTGGCTGGGCTGAGCTTTACCACACACACACCCCTACAGGTTGGGCAGTAGGCATAATGTGGCCCTTTCATTCTGCTGTGCAAGGCCTGCACCCACTGACCCGGGCAAACAGCTGGTGGCTCTGCTGGGAGTGAAGGGCAAGGGCCCTTCTACAGATACAGCCGCTGCCTGGAGAAACATAGGTTTCTCAGAAAGCTTTGTCCTAACTCACTCGCTTTGTCCCTCCCATCACATAGGGCTGGAGCAGTGCCTATTCCATAGAGTCAGTGATCATGCAGATCAGTGCCACACTGGTGAAGGGAAAAGCACGAGTGCAGTTTGGAGCCAACAAAGTAAGGAGGCTGGGGTTGGTGGGGCCTACTGGAGCCAAATACAGTTTGGGCCACTAGCAGGCAGAGGCTGCCTTCTTTGAGGGACAAAGAGGATAAGGCCCCTGGGCTGGTGGTGTTGGATTACAGGGCTGGGCTGCCCACAGTGGGAGCAGCATCAGGGACTTGGTCTGAGGGACATCCTAAGACATTTGGGAGGGCACAGGTCTGGAAAGGGATGGTTGTGGGACTGTGGCTCCCAGAGACCTCCCAGGTGGATGGTACTTAGTGTGTCACCAGAACACAATGCTGGGAGCCAGAACTCCTGGGTCTCTGGGTGGCAGCCTGTGGAAAGTGAGGGGCAGTAAGGCCACAGGTGGCCATGGCCTGATCTGGTGGCTTCGTCTCCCCAGTCTCAATACAGTCTGACAAGAGCACAGCAGTCCTACAAGTCCTTGGTGCAGATCCACGAAAAAAACGGTGAGGCTGGAGCCAGGACTCAGGAGATTCGGACACTTGCCAGGCCCCAGGTTTTCACTTCCAGCCAAATAGCAAGAACCCCTTTTGATTTCTGAGCCTTATCACCCATTAACGTAGCGCACCTGCCCCAGTTCTCCAAAGAAGGGCTGGAGGTGGCTGATGTCCACAACCTCTTCTCCCAGAAAAGCACCAACGATGGTATCACAGATAGACTTGGTGCTGCCCCCTTCCCATCCACCCTTTGGAAAAGCTCATCTCGCTCTTCTGTCATCTCAGGTTGGCATGCCATTCTCCCTTTGTTATCACCAGGTAGGCAGTTTCTTGGCTTCCCACACACCTTCTCTGTCCCCACACTGAGTAGCCTGTCCTAGAATATTTTTGCCTGTAACACTGGAGTTGTCTTCGGTGATTGGGACTTCAGCCTCCACCTGACTGTGTTTTGCTCTGTTTCTTTGCAGGTTGGTACACACCCCCAAAGGAAGATGGCTAACCCTGGAGTGTCATCCCCTTCCTCCTTCCCCAGGCACCACTGGACCAATTACCTTTGAATGCTGTATTTGGATCTCACGCTGCCTCTGTGGTTCCCTCCCTCATTTTTCCTGGACGTGATAGCTCTGCCTATTGCAGGACAATGATGGCTATTCTAAACGCTAAGGAAAAAAAACAAACACAGAACTGTTTCAAGTACTCAAGACTGACTTACAGACCAACCAACCACCTTGCTGGAACCCTTGCTAGCAGGCATTCTTATAAAAGAAACTCTCGAGCCTCCTTATATTGCTGGAAACTCAGCCGTGCTCCAGACTAGAGCCTCCTTACCTATGCTATGGATTTTTAATTTATTTTCTCTTATTTCATGTACACTGCTTTTTTTGGTTACAGTGTATGATGGATGTGTATGAAAAAAATGTATCTTTGGGAAAACAATTACAGTTTGTTAATTTGAAGATGCTGGTCTTGACTCATCTTTATTTTTATTCCCACATCTCACCCCATCCCGTGAACTTGGGAGGGGGGAGAGGGGTACCAAGTCCACTGTTGCTTTGGTAGAGATGAGAGGTTGCGTTTTGCTGCTAAAGCAAGAGAAATGAGCTGAAGCACATGCCTGGTCCACCCCTAGATTTCTCCTGAAGGCCTTGAGCAACCAGCACTTGTTCCTTTTGGAATGCAGAACCTGGCCTGCTAAGCTGCACGTAGTAGGCTGAAATGTTCTTAATTCTAGTCACAGACGTTTTCAAATTTCTAAGAAAAAGAAAATGAGGCTCAGGAGGCTACTTCATAGAATTCCTTTTAAATGAATTGAGTTGGGATGGGGGCAGAGTCTCCTAAGAGTATGTGTGGTCTTTTCTGATCTCAGCAATCTGCCATGTTGCTACAACTCTGGTGTTCACTGCTTCCTCCTCCTGGAAAGTGGCTTCTGGCACTGGATGGTGATCGTTGGTAAGCTTTGATCACCTCCCTCCTGTCTCTTGCTTCATTCATATGGTTTTGTGAGAGAAGACAGGCATAGTAGCTCTGAAGTAAGCTGTTTGGCTTGGAGAATTATGGATTCTTTCAAGCCAGTCCCACAAGGTGGGTCCTACTGGAAAAGGTTAGCTTTAAGGGGGTCTGTTTTCAATACCTGTATCCTCACCCCAGGTTTGGGGAACTGCTGAGGAAGGAAAATGAAGTAGAGAATCTGTGTGTAAGGAGATAGAACTGTTGGTGCTGTGTTAAATATACATGCTGTTTATAAAAGTATGGACATGACTTTGCGTATAATGGGTGCTGCCTGCATCTTGTCAATAAGCTTGCTTTGGGGCTGAGACAGCCTCTTGGGACCAACTATGCCTACAGATTGGATAAAGACTGGAATAGCAAGAGGCCAGGGAAGGATAAGTGAAGACATGAGTCTTAGAAAACCTGGACTTGGGACAGCTGCCTGGGAACCTACAGGATTCTAGAGTTCTGTAATGCTTTGAGACACAGCAATTTTAATTGGTCATCCCCTCACCCCCTTTTCTTTTGAGGGATTTTAATGTCTTGCTGCTTTAGGTGGATGGAGAGTTCACCGGTCCCACTCAGTGCTGCTCTAACTCTACCCATGCCCAACTGATTAGGGGTGCTAATATATGCTGAGGTTGAACTAAAGATGGGACACAAGGGGAAAATTCATTCCATAGAGCTGAAATCTGGTTTTCAAGGCCTCTGGCTTTCTTCTGAACTTATCACCAGCTCTGGCTGGAATGTAGATTGTGTTTTTAGTAATGTGTACTGTGAACTGTCCTCTGTATAATGTATTTTGTAATGTATTTTTCTCATCTACCAAAGGATGAAACAAATAAAATTATTTAAATAGTTTGGCTCTAATAAAATTATTTTAAAAAATAATGGTGTTCACGTTCACTTGACATAAAGGAAAACACCAGCTCCTGTGAGTTGTATAACACCAACTCTAAGAGAATCCTTCATTTTTCTTGTTAAACCTAGCACTCCCTTTTATGACCTTAAGTATAGGATTCTAATTAAGTTACAAAGCACAAAAAAGAATCAGTCCATATTGTGAACTGATTTTCTTCTCTCCACTAAGAAGGCAAGGAGAAATGAAACTCTTTTAGGTCGTTACCCTACCCACCAAGCTGCATCTATATTCCAGGCAGAGTTTGCATGGCCCAGTGCCCATAGGCTGGGAGCTGCATGGCAGCTTCATAATCTCACCACAGCAGTTTTAGAGTGCAGGGCAGGGCAGTGGAGGGGTGGCTAGAAAGAAGTGATCATCCCAAACTTGTAAAACATGGCAACGTTTATTTGCCAAGTGATGGCTCATTGGTTAAATGCTCTCTACCTGATTCTACATGGAAAACCAAGAAAAGGCAGTAGGCTCCTCCATTCTCCAGAATCTCTTAGGGCAACCTATATCGTGCTCTGGGGTGCAAAGAAGAGACAAAGGAAAGAACACACCGGCTGCCTCAGGCTTTCAACCTAATGATAGCTTCCTATATTTGGTTCAAATGTTCATGCCAAGTTAGGGAACTGATGACAAATGAGATTTCACTTTGTCTTTTTAAAGAAGTGAGTGAGCAGGGGGTAAAGGGAAAACGGGAATCAAATCAATCAACGAGCATAGTCGAGCCTTTTTCACCTCCAAGGCCTCAAGAATGAAAGGGATGAAAAGACGGGACACAGGAGAGGGGACATGCCGGGTGTAGCCCTGTTATTTAAACTCTTCAAACTTCAGGATGTGCAACTGGAAGAGGAAGAGAAAGAAAGTCTCAGTGGGAAGGACAGACCACCCCCAGCTAGTCCACCCAAACCCTTGGATAACCTCTAAGAGAATGACAGGTAAATACACAGCATCCAGGCCTACGCAGCGGCCTGCAGCTAAGAACCCAAGGGTGGGGAGTGGAGGCAGAACAGCCAAGTTGGAAGAAGGGCAGTACCTCGGAGTCCAAAGCGCCAGTGATTTTCCCTTTGAGGATTTGATGGACAACCTGATCATAATGCAAAATGTCTGCAAAACAAAACAAAAAAACTTCAGTGGCACTTGGTTGTGCAGGAAGGGCAAAGGAGGGAAGCAAGAGGTGAGGGCTACAGGGAAAGTGCTCTGGCTGCAGATCAGCTCTGACCAACAAGTCTCTGCTAGTTCGTGCTAACTCCCTGCCGCCAGGATAAGATGAGATGGTAAATACTAAAAAGGTGGGAGGGGGGAGAGCAAAGTAAGAGTACAGAAGAGGAGGTATTATTGGTGTTGTTAAAATAATTACAGGGAGGGCCGTCCTGTGGCTCACCTGGGAGAGTGTGGTGCTGCTAACACCAAGGCCACGGGTTCGGATCCCTATATAGGGATGGCCGGTTAGCTCACTGCAGAGAGCGTGGTGCTGAAAACACCAAGTCAAGGGTTAAAATCCCCTTACCAGTCATCTTTAAAAAAAAAAAAAAAAAAAAATTACAGGGGTCTGTGATTTTATATTTTCTAAAATGGGAAATTCTACTGGGGACAGAAAATTGTGTTTACTTGACTCTGCTCTGCAGTTTCAGCTGCAGAGATGGAGATTAAAAGGCAGGGAGGTTTTCACCATGATACACAAGCACTCTTACATGCTGGAACCAGGCAGCACGGGAGCTGGTCAAAAATCCACCTTTCTCCAAGAAGTCTCCCCTGATCAACTCCCACCATCCCTTCACATCACCCAAACTCTGGAACTGTGTATATGCACAAAACTAACCCATATTAAGAGTCAGACTGAGGTTCCATCCCCAGCTATGCCATATGCTTGCTATGAAATGTGAGGAAAGTCCCTTCCCTTTCCTAAGCCTTATCTTCCTCAACCATAAAGGGAGGAAAATTGCACACCTGATTCACCTCTCAGGGCTGTCTCAAAGTCCACACAAGAGGTGAGCACATCCCTGACAGGGGCTACATCTAGCTTGGGCACGCTGGCCCTTATGACAGGTTGGGAGATGCTCTTTGGGACAGGAGGCTCCTCTTCTCCGGGCTACACTCCAATATCCAAAGCAGTTGGGCTTGGCCTGCCTAAAGCTCCCAACCCTGGCTGTTCCTCCCCAGGCTGGGCAGCAGTGCCCTCTTCATGCAATGACCCAAGACAACCTCTGGGTGGTGCTCCCTGCCCACTGGGCACAAGCCCGCCAGCCTCCCAGGGAGAGTTGGACCTGCACTTTTGGGAGAGGCTTTCCCATCTTGTGTGTCGTGCATGCATGCATATGTTTCTTCACGTTCACATCTCCTTAGCCCCCAAAGCATTCTTTCATGTTTTTACATTTCCCCCAATCCCAACCTTGAGAAGGGGCCTCCCCATTTCCAGGATGTGGAAACTGAAGTCCCAATAGTGTCCGGGTCTAACAGAACAGCACATCAGAAGAACCTGAGTCCATGCTCTAAACTCTATGACTGGGCATCAAATTCTAGCTTTCTTCAACAGCAGAATCCTTTTCCCATGAAATCTGAAGCAAAACTCCAAGTACTTAAAACATAACAGCTGAGCAGCTCTGGCAGAATCAGGGGTGGGAAGCTTGCCCTCCCCTACCCCCACCCCCACCTAGTTAACCCACCCTTTGGCCAGTACTTGAGGTCCTCTTGGAATCTTGGGTTGCAGAGCCTAGATGTGAAAACCAATACTCAAGAGGCAGCTTGCTAAGGACAGATGCTGAAAAATGAGGTTAGATCAAAAGAATAGAGGCCGAAGGGAGCCCTAAGGGTTATTACACCATTCCCCGCTGAGGTCCCAGAGGCTGGCACAGCATCGCCTGTCCCTGAAATCCTCGGGAGGAGGGTGGAGGACGTCTCACTTCTCTTCAGCATGAATGGCTGAGTCAGAGGAGGGATGGTCCAGAAGTCATCACTATCCAGGCTGCGCAAGGACTGCATGGGAATGGTGGCCAACTGGCTAATATCAGTGAACATGACCACAGCCCAGTTGTCCACCCTGTCCAGCACCCAGCACCTGGGAAGGAGGGTGAGAGGAGGGTCATTCCACCCAGCACCATACACAGCAGTCCTTGACAAAGAGGGTTTGAAGCTGGGGGTTGAGAGAGAGAGGAACGGTGATCCTGCTTTGCTTTGCCTATCTGTGGGCAGGAGATGATCCTAAGCAAAGAAGATCTCTTTTTTTTTTTTCCTGTCCTTTTTGAGACCGGCTGCACCACGCTCAGCCAGTGAGTGCTGTGAGGGCACCGGTCATCCCTATATAGGATCCGAACCCGTGGCGGGAGCTGCTGCGCTCCCAGTGCTGCACTCTCCCGAGTGCGCCACGGGCTCGGCCCTCAAAGAAGATCTTAAGAGAAGAAGCAGCCAGAAATAAACCAGAGTCCAAAGGAAGAGACATGAAGAAGAAAAAGAGCAGCTCTCCTTGCAGACCTCTCTCATACCCTCCAACCCTGCCTGGCACACACCTGTTCCAGGCGTGTCCATAATTGCCTAGGAGGTACTCAGCCAGACAGCGGGTCCCACGCTGCACTGCAGAGTTGTCCAGATAGGGCTGCCGCTCCTCTGCCTCAGCGAGGGTGCTGAACAGCACCTGCATGTTCTGGTGCAGAGTCTATGGATGGCAAAGATCCAATGGGCCTTGCTGCCTACACTGCATTACACAGCTGTCTCTGCAGGTGTCACGTGCTACGTATGTCAAGCACCACTTCTCTGATCAAGGGAACCAAAGGTACTGATGGGGAGAGAGAACAAGACTGAAATCAGGGATCGGACTACAATCATTCCAGATTTCCACCATTGCCTGGCCCCATCACCACGCTCACCCCAGAAAGCTTCCGCAAGAAGGTACAGAAGCCCAAGAGGGCTACCCACCAGCTCATACCTCAGTGATGTGCATGGCCCAGAAAAATGGGGTCTGAGGGATGACATTGGTCACCAGCAGCCCCAGCTCCCTGTGGATGCTGTGGATGAGGCTCAGGTCTTGGAAGCATTCCCTCAGGAGCAGCACCAGGAAGGATCCTCTGCGGGAAGAGCAAGGAGAAAAAGGGAACGGGATGACTGAAGGAGCAACACCTGTCCTGCAGTGTGCTGGGCTGGGTGCAGGATGAGTCACCCTAAGCAGGAGGGTTGTGCCCACCCACTCCAAGGGGCAAGACAAGTACCCAAGTAATCACAACATGTGGCAGAGGAGAGGAAGGGCCATGCCAGGGGGCACAGGGTTGGAGAGTTCTGGAAGAAGGAGGAGAGGGAAACAGAAACACATGGGGAAACTCCATGGAGAGAGTGGGCAAAAGCCCTCACTGGGTGGATCTTGAGCCCGCTAAAGTGATTCGTGAACCTCTAAATGATGCAAGTGTGGACTGTCCACAATGCAGGATATGTTGTCAATCCCAAAGTAGCTCTTCTCTGGGTTTATTCCAAACGTCATCCTGCCACCTTCTAACTCTATCACCTGCCTAAGTCACATGTGATTAGCAAGGCAAACCTGCTAAAAAAAATTTTTTTAAAACCGAAAACCACAGGTTCCACAGCATTTCAAGTCAAACAGATTATTCTGGCATTCCTGACATTAAGAATGATGTCTACTGTGGGGAGAGAGGGAGGGGGGAAAGAGGAATTGGTAAAGGGACATGAAAATCAACTACATTGTATATTGATAAATTAAAATAAAAATTTAAAAATAAAGAATATCTACTGTAAGCACAGCAGATGTGGGGGGCATGATGATCTCACAGCATCCAGGGTAGCAGGTAGCACAGGCCTTCACTGAACATTAAAGGAAACATTTTAAAAGTCAGTGTGGGTCATAGCCTTAGAGCCTGGGTCTGATGCAGGAGTTCCTGAAAACTTTGTCCCCCACCCCTATACTACCCCTGTCCCCACCCTCTGAGGGACAGAATGACATAGTCACCATTTGCCCTGTTGGCCTTTCTACACCTTGCTCACCTCATTTCCATTGGAACTGCAAAGAAGGCTGCCCTCAGTTTCTCTGTCTCACAGGGGTCCAGAGAAGCCTTAGGAGTGAGCTGCATACAATAAGTCCTGGAGGCACCCAGAGAGGCTCGCAGGCCCCCCCACCACGCCACAGAAGCCTTGGCCCTGCCCTCAGATGGGTCAATAGGCTACATCCTTCCCTTCTCAGCCTCTACATCCTCATCTGGATGGGAAGGGTTGGCTGGATGACGACATTTAATTAAGAAGGCATCCTAGATGAAGAGAAAGGAATAAGAAATATTTCCTACACTAAGGGTCGGCAGGGGACAAAGTTGGAAGGGAGACTGCACAAGAGGCGGTGACCCTGAGTAGGGCTGGGAGAAGTAAACTAGGAGTCACAGAGCCATGTCTTGGGAGCAGATGGTAGCTCAGAATCTCACCAGCGGCTCTGGCCAATCCTTCACCAGACGCCCTCTCCAAAACCTAGGGAGAAAAAGAAAAGGTATTGCTTGGGCATGGCAATACTTAAAAAATGGTTTAGATGTTGAATCACTTCAAGCAGATTTGGAGACAGAGCAGCAACAGCCCCTGTTCTGACACAGACATTAGCTGACTTAACACATCCACACACTTGCCCCTTCCTCGTGGGATCCTGAGCCAACCCAAAGAAAAGATGATTAGACACGGGGATGGGAGGCAGGGAGGCTGTGGCCGGGGGTGCTCCCTCGGGAGTTACAGTCACAGCGAGCTACCCCCGGCAGCCCTCCCCACACAAGGGACGCTCAGCCTGGGCCAGCCCTGCGGAAGGAGAGAACGAGCGAGATGGAAATTGTTCTGCAGGAGGCAAAGCTGGGCGCAGACAGAAGCCCTGCCGCTCACGACAACCCGGCAGCCACCTTCCACGCTGGTGTCCCTCTCTCCACTGTTCTCACCTGGAACCCCCCAACTCTGGTTAAACCCAAGCATCTGCCCCCTGCCTGCTTCCCTACATCCAGCTGCTGCCAGCGAACACCCACACCACAATCCCACCAAAGCCCCTAACATGACTCCTTTTCCTCTCTCCAAATGAACCCCTCCTCTCTTCAAAACCTCCACCCTCCCCACTCTGCCCCACCTGCTGAACCTCCCTCTTCCTCACGGATGAAACCGGAAGCCACAGGACGGGAAGTCTCTCATCTTCTCATCTGCCAAACTCCCCATGCGCCTGCCCTCTCTGCCATCCCTCTTGCTGCCCAGGTTCAAGGACAGCCCTGCTGTGGGCACACCCTCCACCCTCCATCATGGTCTCTCCCCATGTGGACCTTTCTCACCAGGAAACAAACAGGCTGTGTTATGTGTGTTAGAAGAGACTCTGACTTGACCCCACATCTCACTCCAGCTACCACTCCTCTGGTCCCTTCCTGAAAGTGTTGTCTAGAGTCCTGTCTACTTTCACACCTTACCCTTCCTCTCGGGCTTCCTTGAAATGGCTCTGCACAGGGTCAGCAATGACTTTCCTGTTGCTGAGTCTACAGTCACTTCTCTGCTCTGAATTGGCTTGCAGTATTCCCTCCACTCCCTCTTTCCAGAAACACTTCTTCTCTTGGCCTCTGTGAAATCACACGCAACTGGTTTTCCTCCTTTCCCTGGCTGGCCCCTCTCAAGCTCAACTAATAAATGCTGGCACAACCCAGGACCTGCTCCTCTCCTCTTCTACCTTCTCTTCAAGGCCATCCCCAGGTCCATGGTGTTAGATATCTACAATGCATCACAGACTCTCAAAGCTGGGTCTCCAGCCCTGATCGCTCTCTGGAATTCTACTCAAATATGGGGATGCCCACTTCACAGGACAGCACAAAACTCAGAATGTCTAAAACCTCCCCAAGCTGCTTCAGCCCAGCTTTCTCAATTTGAGTAAACTGCATCATTATCTACCAAGTGGTTCAGGCAGGGCCAATTCCTCTCTCTCCCTAGCTCCCTACATCAAATTCATCAGCAAGCCAAGCCATCTCTTCCTCCAAAACACACCTGAGCCCTGAGCACAGACACTCTTCTCTCTCCATATCCACCACCCCAGTACTGCCATCACCGTCTCTTACCAGGATGACAGCAGCAGCTCCCAAACAGGGCTCCTGCTGCCACACTTGCCCCCGCAATCCAATCGCCAGCAGACACATGATCTTTTACTAACAAAAATCCAATCACATCACACCCCTGATTAAAATCTCCCAATGCCTTCCCATTGCTCTTACAAATAAAATTCAGTCTCCAACTTGGCTGGCCAAGGCCATGTGGTCTGAACCCCTTCTACAGACCTCCCTTGCACCCACTCTCCCCTTCACTCACCATGTCCACACCTTGGGGCATCTGCAGGCACTCTCTCTGCCTGGAATGTTCTTCCTCTGGTCTCCATGCAGCTGGCTCTGACTTGTCACTCAGATCTCAGCTGAGATGTCACTTCCCCGCAAAAGGGGCCTCTCTAGGAACCATCTGAAGAAGTGACCCCTCACTCTTCATCATATCATCTTATTTTAATTCTCTGTGATATTTATACCGTATTTTCTTGTTTATTGTATGTCTCTTTCCACTGGAGTACAAGCATCACAAGAATCACATTTGTCTCCTGACAATGACCTTGATCAGTGAGGTAATGCCAGGGCTTAGAAAATGCCTGGTACATAGTAAGGTCCCGGTAAATATATGTTGAATGAATAAAACAAGAAATGACCTAGGGCAAATCCTTAACTCACAAAGCCTTGGTTGCCTCTTCTACACCATGAGTCGCACCTGCTTTAATATGAGGATTTAGCTTGGCTAGTATGTGTCTAGGATGTGACCCACACACAGCAGGAGCTTAAGAAACAGAAGCAGTATGGCAGAGCAGTTAGAAGTGTGGGTTCTGGAGCCAGACCATCTGGGCTCCAATCCTGGTTCCAGGACTGACTGGCTGCTTAACTTTGCAGCTTGGTGTTCGCATCTGCAGAATGGAAGAGTAATAAATAGCACTTTCTGCTTTAATTAAATGAATCCATACAGTAAAATAATCAGAGAGTAAGCCCTCAGTGAAGGTTACCTACTGTTGTCAATCAATGAGACCCAAATCAAATCTCTCTGCTAAACCACGTTCTGCCTCTCCCACTTACCAAGACAGTAAAGCCACAACGCTAAAAATTGTCCTTCTCTAGCCAAGCATGTAAGGAGCCCTTTTACTTAGAATCTCCTAAGACAGTTCTAAATACCAACCCCAAGAACCAATTATCAGCAGTGATCTTGAGCTAAAAGTAATTATTAATATTATTAATACAGAAACATTTTAAACCACTTTGGTCTCACCATTATTCCCTAATGATTTAAGAGAGAACTATAACAAACCCATTTTGACAGTTTGTGAAGTTAAGTTTCAGGGGAAGATCTATATAAATATCTTCCAACCACCACAGCAGGCACATCACCCAAAAACAAAACTCCAACTTCAGACGTGTTTGTAACACAGAGTGACCACGTGGAAGCTACAGAAATCAGGGCCGCAGCTCAATAGCTGCCAAACCAGCCAATTTTAATTAACATCTATTGTTGCTACAAGCACACTAACCCGCGTGCCCAGATAATCAACAGCTGTTAATGATCCCTTTCTTTGTTCTGGGACATTTCCACCAGCTGGTCAAGTGTTCTAAGAGGCATGCTGGCTTCAGAATTATGCTGGTGAATCTGAGCAGTGGGAGAGAAAAAACAGAGCAGGCAAAGGTCAGAAGGCTCTGAATGGAGGATCCATCCAGTCCCCCGCATATGCCACAGAGAAGCTCCTGCACACTACTCAGCAGGGACACAGCCTCATGCAACACCCTGAATGGTGGTGGCTTTCCAAGCCCTGGACTGCTGCCAGCCACCCTGAGCCATCCCTCCTTCCCTACCCGGGGAACTGTACTTGGGGCCACCTGAGGCACCCTGGTGGAAATTTAACATTTACAGCTTTAATCCTCAACTACTTCCCTCTCACACTTGAATCAGCCAGGTGACACAACTTGTATTTTTACTATGTGGCAGGTGCAAAATGACAAAGATAAAAGACACAGACCCTGTTCTCAGGGAGCCCACATTTAGTCACCCCACAAATATTTATAAAATGCCTATGTTCCAAACACTGCCTCCAGGAAGTTCACATGCCAATGGGAGTAGCAGTCACTAAGTAAGTACAGTCATGCGCTGCATGACAACTCTTCAGTCAATGAGACCGTATATACAACGGTGGTCCCATTAAGATGACAATGGCTGTACCACATAGCCCAGGTGTGTAGTGGGCTGTACCATGTAGATCTGTGTAAGTTCACTCTGTACTGTTTGCACAACAACACGTTTTTCAGATTGTATCCCTGTTGTTAAGTGATATGTGACTGCATACAAAGAGTGACGTCAGTGGCAATGAGAGCAGTGAAGAAACAGGCAGAAAGAGGGGTGAAGAGTGTCTGGGGTGGGTGCTGGATCAGGGAAAGTCCCTCCAAGGAGATGACGGCTGGGCAGAAACCTGAACAAAGTGAGAAAGCAGAGCTGCAGACATCTGGGAGAGGAGCCTTCCGGGCTAAGAAGAGTAGGTCCAGAAGCCCGGGGCAGGGCTGTGCGTGCGTGTGTGCTGGGAGCACCCCTGGGGCAGGCAGGACGGGACATTCTCATCTCTTACCTGGACGGCCTGAGACACATCTTCCTGCTCCCACTCTGGCCCCCTAGAGTCTGTTCTAAAAGGTCACTTTCAAACTTAGATCGAGGTGAATGGCTGAATAAACGATGGCACATCCATGCAACAGAGTATCACTTAGCAATAAAAAAAGAATTGCTGATGGTGCAACCCCATGAATGAATCTCAATAACATTCCACTGGTGAGAGAAGCCAGACACAAAGAGCACATACAGCAAGATTCCATTTACAGGCAACTCTAGAAAAGATAAATCTCATCTAAAGTGACAGAAAGCAGATCAGTGGTTGCACAGGGCCATGAAGTGGGGAATTACTGACAACTGGGAAGGGGCATGAGAGAACCTTTTGGGTGACTGAAACATTCTATATCTTATTGTGGTAGTGGTTACATAGCTGCACACATTTGTCAAAATTCCTCAAACTGTATACTTAAAATGGGTTCATTTTATTTTAAGTAAATTATACTTCAATAAGTATACAGGTTGAGTATCCTTTATCCAAAATGCTTAGGACCAGAAGTGTTCTGGATCTCGGATTTTTTCAGATCTTGGAATATTTGCATTATGCTTACCTGCTGAGCATCGCTAATCTGAAAATCGGAAATCCAAAACGCTCCAATGAGCATTTTCTTTGAGCATCATGTCAGAGCTCAAAACGTTTCAGATTTTGGAGCATTTCAGTTTTCAAATTTTCAGATTAGGGATGCTCAAACTGTACTTAATACTTCAATAAAGTTGATTTTTTTAAATGAGTAAATTAGTTAAATCTGGTTATGTCACTGCCCGCTCAAACCCTCCAGTGTTCTCGTTATTAT